ATATCTATATTACCTTTTCCTATCTTTCTCTCTCTCTCTCTCTCTCTCTCTCTCCCTTCCTATTTTAATTTGATTAGATTTTGCACGGATTTTAACTCAATTAAAAACTGAGCATCAAATTCAAATATCAGAATGAAATGTATTTAAACTAATTTACAATAAGTTAAATAATATAAAATTAATTATTGCTTATAGAAGAGTCTAATTTACCGACAATATTATGGCTATGTACCATTGATGAGTGGATTATCGATAACAATTGATATTATGGGTACGATGGCAATTGATTTGCATGGTTCTGCAGCAATAAGCTTATGGAATAAGGATGCCAAGATGAGAATTAATTCTACGTATGTTATCAATTATTATTAAATTATTATCAAAAAAATTTGAAATTCTATTTTTTTTAGTTTATTTTATAATTTGTTAACAGATTAAAAAAAAGTTTCCAATTTTTATTCTTCTCTAATAATCCTGTTTTTTTTTCTCTTCATTTCATGCAGTATATCAACAAAATTCGACACAAGCATAAGTTTGGCATCATCGAATAATTTAATCGGAAAGGTGACAACGTTACTGTATGCAAGCGGTACTGTAAACATTCGGTTTGACACAGATTTCTTTACAGTACCCCATTTGCTTTGTATGACTGTTTCGCACTCACCAATTGTTATCAAGTAACAACTTTTTCTGTTGGTAAATGTAAACTATTTAATTAATTAAATATATAATTTGTGATGTAACAAATTTAACATCAACAACCCTTTTCATTTCTTGTCCTATTCCTTGCTTCTTTTTTTTTTTTCTCGTGCTTTTTCAAATCATGAGAATCCTGGAATTTTCCTCCTTTCTCATTCTATTCTCACATTTTAGTACAATTTTTAGATTAAATTGTAAATCATCCAAAATTAATTGATGGTGAAAATTTGAATTATGAAACTTTTAAAATAAATTTCCAAAATTATGATTGAAAACATCGGAGTAATTAATTTGTTTTCAGCATCCATTAAGTTTTTTTTTTTAATTCGCAATAAAAAAAAATTACTTTCTGTCGTTTTCCGTCGTCTTTTTTTTATGAATTTAATTATATGATACAAAATTTTTGCTAATTAGTTAAAATTAATTAATAAGAAATGAAATTCTTGCAGGCATTCATACACTCATAGTACAAAAACCGGAAAAGACAAACATTTACGGCATAACATCAAGTTATCCGGTTCCAGTTTATGGTTGAACAAGAAAGTATCTGATCATTGCTCTTTATTGAATATTTGAAGAAAATTCCAAGTATTTCATACTTTGATAAAACCTAAAATCAATTATATGTGTAAATATGCGTATTTCCTACAATTGATTTCATTAAATATTCATTCAGAATGCTTTGAACTGTTACAAATTCAATCACTTCAAATAGTCTCAGGAGATAAAAGGCAAATCCGATCATTTTAGATTGTTTCGGGAGATAGAAGAGCGGGAAAAGAAGGAGATGAGAAAAAAGCAGAAATAATGTGACCTTATAGTTGATGCATAACAGCACTTTGAATCCATTGATTATCAGTGAAATGATCACCATATTCTCAAAACATGGCATCTCCTGTAGTAATCATGATATTTCCTATAATAATCATGACACTCCCCATAATAATCATAATATTTTCGTTGATAATCACGATCCCATTACAGTGATATTTCCTATAGTAAACACAGCATTCCCTACAATAATCATGATATTTCCTATAATAATCATAACACTTCCCATAATAATCATGGTATTTTTTTTGATAATCATGATCCCATTACAGTGATATTTCCTATAGTAATTGTAATATCTTTTATTGTAATAATCATGCATGGAAATATATTTATCAGTTATCATTCATACAAATAAAAAAAAGGTAACATTTTAATATTGGCTATAATAAAGGTTGTAGTTTGATTATTCACAACAATTCATTTCAATGGAAACAAAAAGACAAAATGAAAAAAAAAAAAAAA